GCTTCCTGCCCAGCGTCATCTTCGGCGGTGCTTCCATCGTGGCCTTCCGCCTGCGGGCCTGCCCCACCCTCGACGTCTGCACGCAGCTCTTCCACGGCTCCCTGGCCTTCACCTACCTCAACAGCGTCCTGGACCCCGTGCTCTACTGCTTCTCCAGCCCCAGCTTCCTCCGCCAGGGCCGGGCTCTGCTGGGCCTCACCCAGAGCTCGCAGGGTCCAGCCAGGGATGAGAACTCCTACCAGCTCTCTGCACGCCGATGGGTGTCCTCTAAGAAGGCAGAGGCCACGGGAGGCTGAAGGCGGAGGTCTCGCTGGAAATCTCGGAGGAGGACTGACCAGGAAGGCCCCTCCCCGGACTGGGGGTCTGTGGCCGTGCCGCAGGAGCGAGGACAGGCAGGCTCTGGGCGGGAGGGACAAGGTCACTCCCTGGTCTATTGCCAGCACAGGGCCCCTCAACCAGCTGGACAAGGGACATCTGCAGGAGCCAGGTGGGTGGCAGGAAGAGAAAAGGGTCTTGGCTTGGAGTAGTGTGCCAGGGATGATGTCTCCACAGCGCAGAGCACGACGGCAGGAGGAGACAGGCAGGGGCTGTGGGAGCTCCAGCTGCCCAGTTCCCGGCCAGAGCCTGATAACTGAGAGCAGAAGTCTTGCTTAACAACTGGAAAGCTGCATTTTCTGTGATCTTGCTTTTCTCTCTCAATACTAGTAAAGTTCCTTTTGAACATGCAAGCCTGCCTCAGCTGTTCCAAGGAAAACCAAATAAATGTCATTGGGTCCATCTGGCCCTGGCATCAGTAGGGTTCAAAGTGAGTTCCCCAAGATGAAGGGACACTCTGGTGACAGAGTGGGGAAACTGTCCAGGGCACTGCCCTGTGTGTCCTTAAAGTCAGAACACTTCCCCAGGAGAGGCCCTCAGGCTCATAGGATAGGTGGCCTGCCTGGACCCCTGGGAGGCCCCTGCTCCTCTCTGGCCTCCAGGTCCCCTCTGCAATCCCGAGGTCCTGCCCAAGGCACCAAGGACCTTGCCCTGCTCTCCTCTGGGATGATGTGAGGCTCTTCAGCCTGGGAATTTGCCACCTCCATCCAGTTCAAGCTCTTGGCTCCGCTTAGACCCCCTCACCTGGCTTTCCTCAGCGCCAAGTACCCTTCCCTGGCCCTGGAACCTGTGGTGGCTGCTACCACACCAGGAAGGGACACTGGGTGAGGCAGGGGCTTCAGGGTCACCAGAGCCGGCCCACTGCCCTCCCTCAGGACCAAAGCCGTCTTGCCCACCTCCACCCCTTTCTGTTCTGTTCAGTATGCCTGTGTCAATGTCTGAGAGCACCCGAGATAACCTATCTGCTGACC